CATGTCCATGCTATGCAAGTATAACCCAAACTCCTTACACATCCGATCCCACGAGCCTTTTTTACTCCAGGAGGATCTATCCTATGAGGAGGTACCGATATGCATTATAGACCGAAAGCGTAGAGTACTTCGCAACTAAGAAACTCCATTCATCAAGGTCCTATGGCATAACCATAAATAGGAAGAGATCATTTGGGAACTGGAATCAAGATTCAGGGTCCAATAACCCCAGCTATTCAACTGAGTGAGAGAGTGACCAATTTAAGGGACTAAATTTTTTAAGGGAGAAAAATTGTATACTCGGGTCCGAAAAATGACCCGAGATAAATTTTTTATTCATTAATTATTAATTTAAAATAATTGATGAATTTATTTTATTTTTTAAGTAGAATTTTGAGAAAAAATGAATTAAGGATTAGATTAAAAATAATTTTGAAAAAAATGGGTAAAAATTTAGGTTCTGATGGTGTTTTTTTTAAAAAAATAGAAATAAATGGTCAAAGTGCAAATAAAAAAATATGCAGCTACGTAAGACCGCCCAGTTAGCAACTTCGACGAATCAGAGTGCGCCATGTGGCAAGGCATGCTAACGTCGGTGCCATGCGGGAGGCCACGCTGGTGATCTGTGTGCCCTGCGATCGGACAGCCCAGGATCGATCCCACACACATGGACGATTCAGATCCATTTTTCTTTTAGGTACAATCGGATGGTCGAGATTAATCGCGATGAACAGTCCATATTCGTTTCTTCTTTATGCGCAATCGGATGGACGAGATTGATCGCGATGGACGGTCCAAATCAGCATGAGATAGTTATAAATATTTTCCATCACACAGGAACCTAAACTCTAGTCGCCAGCCCCCGCAAGAGAATAACCAAACGCCGGAGAAGGAGGTCAACTGCCGACCACCGACCGCTGCCACATCGGAGCCATCGCTGACCACCAAAAATGGTAAAAATTCTCCCTACCCATCAGAATTCAATTCCGAGTACCTCTGTGGCTAAATCAGAGCAAGAGAGACAGCAGGTGAGCCAAAAACTGCAGGCAAAGCCTGACGGAGCTGTCGCGGCTAAAACTCTTAAATCCCTCCGGTGAGCCCCTTTCTGATTCCTGTTTCATATAATTTTTTTATCATTGTGTTTACCGTTCTCTTCTGTACAGGATAGTCGAAAAAAGAACCTCAGCCGCAAAGGGGGACCGATGGACCTGTCGCACTGAGAGATCCCTCGGCTGGTATATTATATTTTTTTATAATTTTTCAGTCAACCGAGGCCTCTGACGTGTTTTTCTGTAGGGATACGATCAAAAGCAGCTAAAACTGGCCAAAACTGACCAGACCGAAGCGAATTACTGCCGTGGGTGGCGAAGCACGGGGTCGCCACCATACCAGAACCCCAAAATTGGCCGGAATGAGTTTTGGACACCACTTTTAGATTTTTTGGGTATTTTTAGGTATGTGACGAGTGTTTTGAATTTCACATGAAAAATTCAGAAAATCTGATACCCATTAGAAGGCGTAGTAGACAGCTTGACATCTCGAAACACCGATCTTGGTAAGGATCCCTCATCCTATTCTCTGTTACGGTAAATTAAAGTTTAATGTTGTATAATTTCATATTTTTATGAGAAATTAGAGAACTTTAAAAGTAATTACAGGTCACTAGTGGAGTCAAAACTGATTAGTTCACAATTGTTCTGATTTTCTATTTATTTTTTTGTACCACTCTATTTGTTTGTTATTATATGGTGCATGTTCTTAATTTATATTTTCTACAGTCTTATCAATTCATCCGGTTTATTCGGTTACATACCGTCAGCATTAATATAGTTTAATTAATCTGTTAATATAATATGAGATATTGGTGTACGTGGTTGGTTGTTTGTTGATAAGAATCTTTATATGAAAGTTGGGTACCTAAGGAAAGGGGGGACGAATCCGGTACATAGGAAACCCTACCGTGAACGTTACCTCAGTCGAACGGGATTGGGAAGTCCCTTACCGAAAAGGTTTGAGAGATATAGTTCACATTCATACTGGACAGGATATCGATGCGATGGAATGTTTGGCACTCATTACCAAGACGGGTATGAGGATGGCCGGTTAATTGTTAAAATTGGATATTGAGTTCACGAGCAGGGAGGTATTCCTATGGACCCTAGGGATACCAGTAAGCAGGTGAAAAATGAAAGTTATCTTCTCTTGTTCTCTTACGCGTGAAAATAAAAAACGGTATGAATATGCATCTTCATAAGTTGTTTTTGAAAAATTCGTTACGGTAAGTACAAAATAAATAGTATTCTTTATATTAAATGAATTTACTCAAATTAAGTGCTCCATTAATTTTTTTATGATTTTTACCAATCTTCAGTTTTCTGTATTTGTGATTAGTGTGATATTTTTACTGGATTAGTGTAGCTCACTCTTTCATGAATTATTTCATATCAAGATGACCAAAATACAGATCTCGATCAATAAGATGGTTATGAGTAGTTCACTAGCAAGACTTCCTTCAAATGCTAGTGAAAGTTGTTTTAAAATGTTTAATTATTC